AGTGTGCTCTCAACCAGATATTGAGGAAGAGAGAAAAACATGGGGGCAAAGCTTATCCCTCTTAGCCCTGGTTTGACAGAATGTTTTGAGGCCAAGAGTAAACTGAACAGGAAATTCAAATTATATAAAGAGAAAACAGCTAAACGCTCTATCTAGCACTTTATGCTCCTGAAGAAACAATACAAACATTTATTACAAAATAAGAAAAGAGAACTCACTAGGGCTTCCTGGCAGCAATTGATAATAGCATCTCAAGCCAGAAACCCCATTTTATTCTGGTGCCTGATAGCTTCCCACCCAACTGACAGGCCCCTTTCCCCACCTCTTATCTGCATCTATGTGGGAAAACCACTTTAGAGCATTATATTCACAAGAGTCTCCTAAATGTGACTTAAATCTTAATGCTAACCTGCCCCCTAATTGGGCCCCAGTTTCAAGTGCTGAAATAACGATGCTTACAAATCAGCTAAAGCCTGGTAAAGCTCCAGGCAATGGACTTTATCACTCCCAAAGTATTATGCAATAATTTGGAATGATGGACCCTGATTCTTACTTCCCTGTTTACATATATTGACTGCACTGTGCAAATCCCAGAAAACTAGGGCCTAGCCATCATAGTGCCCATTTGTAAAAAGGGCACCCAAGACCTGCCTGCTAATTATAGGCTATTAGCCTTTTAAGTATAATAAGTAAGCTCTATGCCAGACACTTATACAACAAATTAGTTGATTGAATCAACCTAGAGGAAATATTGACAGACAGCAAGCAGGCTTCAGGACCGGACATTCTATCTATGGACATGCCCTTATACTTTATACACATTTAAAACAGGCTCAATATCATATACTGCATTTATTGATTTTAGGTCCGCATTCGATCTAGTTCCCAGAGCAAGGCTATAAACTAAGTTTATGAATACTACCATTGGTAGACGGTTACTGTTGCTTATGCATAATCTTTATAAGAATTCTAGAGTCAAAGTTCAATGCAGTACACAAGGCCATCACACTAATGAGATCCCAACTTACAGAGGAGTGAAACAGGGATGTATTTTATCTCCCCTGCTGTTTAATCTGTACCTATAGTAAAACTAAGATCCTGATATTTGCAAAGGGACCTAAACTGCACTCCTGGATAAAGGGCCAGAATACTGAACAAGTGAAATGTTTTAAATATTTGGGCATGGTTTTCCATAGCTCCATCAAATGCAGTGCACACCAATTTTATGTAATACAAAATGCTCAGAAAAGTGTCTGCAATTCAATTTTTTCACTTCACCAAAGGAGCACAGCATATCCCAGTAGCACTGAAACTATATTCAGCTAAGGCTCATGCATGACTACTTTTCGGTGCACAGCTAGGACCTTATACTTCCTTTACTCCTCTTGAAAGGGTCCAGTCTAATTTCCTAAGGGCTATATTCCAGGTAACCTCCTGCATTCCAGGGACGCAGTGCTGTCTAAAGTTGAAAAAAGTGCATGGACCTGTATCATAGCACATTAGTTGAAGTTACTGCTCTTTCCTTATTGAGGACAATTACAAATCAATATGGTCCAGGACAATGTCACAGAAACCTCAACATCTCGGCTTTCCTAATGATGGGTTATGAGTACGTATTCAGTTCATTTAAACAACGTATCAAAGACCTGGAAGCCCAACAAGACCAGTCTGTTCAACCTAAGAATGTTTTTTTGAACAATCTTTTTACAAACCAGTGAGATACTTACACCACATAACTGCAAAGAGCATTAACTTTAGCACACTTCAATGCTTTCCCAAAGCAGTTTTGGAGGCCAAAACAAAAAAGTTCCTTATGAGCTGAGACTGTGCTCCTGTGGACAAGGGGCTATTGAAACTACAGCTCATGTCCTGCTATACTGTACCCTCTATAAGGACTCAAGGACCCGCCTTATAACTCTTTACTTGGTAAAACACCTGGAAATTCTGATCTTTTTTTATGTATAGTTGTTATCAGATCAATATGATTCAGTCTCTTTGAACATAGGTAAATTTTGTTATATTGCCTGTAAAATTAGGCAGAGTTTAATTATCCACTGATGAACCCACCACCAATTGTAATATTTTATCTTGTTCTGTTTTTACTTTATTTTTAATTTTTAATGTATTTTTGTTTGCAATTCTGGTCAGTAATAAAAATATTCATTCAATCTTTGATGTGTATACACTGACTATGTAATTCCCTTCCTCTAAAGGATTACCACAGTCTTGACATTTCTGAAGAAGTGTGCAATGTCATATCCAAGAGCAAATTGATACAATGTTTAATAAGTCTGTTCTGTCAGCCTCACAGCTAAATTTAATATAATACTGAAAGAGCCACAGGCAACCAAGTTTTGTGTTTGTTTAAAAAAACTAATAGCAGGTGGGCAATAGGATCCATTTTGGGATGGGAGGAACAGTAGCACTCCTTCCATTTTGTAGTAGAGCTCTTCAAAGTTTGAAAAAGTGAATATTTTTCATTTTTAACCTGTATTAATTAATTATTTACTTGAAAGTAAAAGTGGCTCATTTTCAACTATTTTTCATCAAATATTTGCCCATATCATAGTGTGTGTATTTATGTTTGTGTGTGTGTGTGTGTGTGTCACACATCAGTGAATTCTAAGAATCTGTGCAGCAATAAATAAGAGAAAATTGCCTTAAAGTATGCTGCTTGGTAAGGTATACCAAGAGATTTGTATGGCCTCCACCTTGACAATGTTCAGGCAGTCTCTGTTCCCACACACCTTGGGTTAGAGTGGATGTTGAGCCCCTTATAGGATTTTGTATGTTTCAGAAATTGGCCTTTCAGGTTCATGGTTTTTTATTATCTTTTAATGTTATATGCTGCACAGAGTCTTATGGAGTTGGGCAGCCTTCTAAAATCTGCCTGCCTGCCTGC